TTGTGATTAAAACTACATTTAAATCGTTGACAATCAAAATTGATCGGTAAGCAAAGAAGCTAGAAGAGAGAGTTCCACAAGCGAGAATTGCAAGAGGAAAAAATGTTAGTATATATATAACATCTAACAATTTAAACTGTAAGATTTTTGAGACCTTGCCGCCAATCTAGTACTGCACTTAAATTAATAAAGTTTCGGTATCATAAAGTAAAGTTCAACAGAAAAACTATCAATGAACACTTTTTCTTGATATTTTTTTAATTTATTGGATTTTTTATACATCCATAGAATCATTATTGACACATTAAAATATTTTCCTGCGTTCTTAGGACATGGCACTATTTTTCAGATTAATTTCTTACATAATCATAAAAAAATATATTCTGATTTGATGCTTTTTTTTCAAAAATATATATATATATCAAATATATGCAAAAAATATAAAATATGAAATATAAAAATCTCGTGTTTTATATATATATTTTAACAATGCTCGTTGTACACACAACTAAAGCAGATCATAATTTCGATTTCGATTCCGTGAAAGTATTAAAATATTTTCATAATAAAAAATCTCAGGAGGATTTATGAAGCAGGTATAATATCCATCTCACGACGGTGAATACTAGACCTGGTTTCTTTAAAGATTGATGCTCGACAAGATACACATAAGAATTTTGGAACCTAATAGAAATAATCACAAACTTTTAGGAATACGTTATGAAAGCGTCGCCCATGTGACGACAGCGTGACCATGTTAGACGGAAGGCTGATCATTTTAAAAATTTTCAGTTATCTGTTCTGAATAAGACTTGTGTTTTTATGTCCATAGTATTTGTCATATTGAACTGAATTGTATTTTGATGAATATTTCTTGAAAAAGGTTTAATAAACCGAAACGTCAGACGTCGACATTTCTTTCATTTAACTACATTTAAGGATTTTGTTTGTTTTTTCAAAATTTCTTCATATATTTATATAATCGTCGGTCAAATTCGACGTATGAAGGTCAAAGCAGATCAGTGACAGGAAACCGACAGCCCGACAACACACATGAGATTTGATTATAGAGGTGAAGAGGTAGGACCATCCCCTTTTGAAGGGCAAACTGGTACACTAAGTACCACAAGGTCCCCAAACGACCCTCCGCATTTTTTCATTTATGCAGTGGTTAGGTTGAAGTCGAAAGGAATTTCTTTGTGCATGATTTATCATTCGTTTTTCTACGCTTTGGATCTTTTGAATTGTTTCCGGGGAGAAATTGAACATTAAGTGTCTAATAGCTTCTGAGTCCTTACCACTTTCACAAGGCATCATCGAGGATTTTTGTGGGTTAATAGATTTGCGTCTAAGCACACAATGTGTTTATTTAATAATTTATGTAATAGATGATAGGGCTTTACATATTTGTGATTGTACTCATATACGATTACACATATACCTATATGTTTATTTTACGTTTATTTTAGCTTTTCCCATTTTTTTGCAATTTCCCTTCGGGAATTGTAATTTGGCATTCTCACGGGAATACGATAGTTGTAATTTAACAGGCATAGAGTTATATACTTACGCGAGCACACACATACATGCGTATATATGAAGATAGATAGATAGATAGATAGATAGATAGATAGATAGATAGATAGATAGATAGATAGATAGATAGATAGCGAACTGTTACATTAAAGAAGTACAAACGTAGATATATACAAGGTTACGGGACATAGCAATAATTATGCGCAAATTGATATATAAAGAAAAAATAGATAGAGAAAAGAAGCAAGAGAGAGAGAGAGAAAGTGAAAGGAAAAGAACGAGAAATGAAGAACAAAAAATAGAAATTGTGTGAGAGTGAGAGCGAGAGAAAGATAGAAAGAAAGATGTGAATAAAAAAAATGCCAATTGCTAAAGACCATAAATTAGAAATCTTCTTGTTCTTTCCTTCTCAGAATCAGTACATTCGTACACTTGTAAATTCACTAATAACCACGTGATATAACAATCTGTGTTTTTTTTTTTTTATAATCCATATAACTTCCTTTTTTTGCCGTGACCCCCACCGATATTACTTTTCTTTTCTCCCTAACCATTCTCCCTCCTTTTTCGCTATTCTCTTGCTTGTGCTTGCCTTCCCCCAATATTTTACTGAACCGCGCCCAAAGAACCCTCTAACCCCTTTCCTACACCCTCTAACAACACTGATTCGACCCCCTCTGCTGTCAGATCTCCCGCAAAGGTACTCCAGCCTTTATCAATGTGTAAGTAGGCAAATAGGCGGACACCCCGCATATACGGGTAGGTGACAATTTTACTAGGTACAAATAAAAGATGTCCGGATTTAGTACGGGCCAGTCAGTCCTACCTCTATATTTATTTATTTTTTTTTTTTTTTACTGTTTTCACTACCCTTTTTTTTATTTTCGCAAAATATAAACAAGTACATGTATCTCCTGTCCAAATTCACAGTCGTTCTGTTTCGCTTTTACGCGACGTCATTTTACAAAACAATTAATCTTTTCCCGCGTAAATTAAACTACGGCGGCAACTTTTTCCAATTTTTCCCACGCGTATGATTCATTTTAATTTCTTATGCCGACATTGTTTTGCCTTTGTCTATAATTGTATATACAGGAATCACTTGATTAATCCACATTCGATTAATGCGTTTTCGATTAGTGCACTAAAATTTTTATATGCCAAAAGTTCGATTAGTGCATACATAATACTCGATTAGTGCGGTAAAACATTCTTCAGTTTAACCACAGTAATTTTTATCGTTACTGATTAATTAGAAATTTTCTATAAGTTAAAAAATGGAAAATGGTTAACTATTTTGTTTGCCAAGTATTATGTTATCTAAGCAATTACAGTAGTGTTAAAAATACCTAGTTATAAATAGATCAATTTTATAAGCTGATAATAAATACATATTTGACTCTATTAAAATTTTTTGAATATTTTGATCTTTTTTTTCATGTTTATTTTGACAGTGTTAAAAGGAAATTTCTGATTTAAAAAAATAGACGATTTTAGATACAGAAATTTACATTGATTAAAATATATCGAAATATAAAAGATATATGCATTTACGATTCAAAAATTATAAGTGAAATTTTCAGATTAAAATACTAATAATTATGATATTTTTGAAAAATTTGAAGGGGTAATTCCTCAGTATGACTAATTATATGATGAACAGAAGAATACCATGCGGCAAACCACTCTAAATAAGCTTTTCAGAAAAAATCAGATTAATAAACATGAATTCATAGCATTTTTATTGTATCGTCTTATATGCATTTATACATTAATAAAAAAAAGTACGCAAATTATAAATTAATTGTTAATGAGACTAAAATTTGAGGTACAAATTACTTAATTTCTTATAAGTTATTATATTCGATTAATGCGTTTTCGATTAGTGCGTATCTTTTAATGTATGCATTAGCGTATCTTTTAATGTACACATTAGCCGCACTTTACTGTATTTTGATTGTTAAAAACAATGTAAATGGAAATAAATGATTCGTTTTGGCACATTGGGATATTCAAAAAAGTTTTTTCTAAGAAAACAGACAAGATACGTAGAAAATATCCATATTAAGTCATAATTCTTCTTCTTCTTCTTCTTCTATATGCCGTCTCCCTATAGGATGTTGACGATTATAGCTCTCCACAATCATAAAGCTGTGTTTTTCACATTTCTACTAATTCTTGTTCTGTTAACAATTTACACTAGTTTGTTTAGTAGGTTATGAGCTGTTTCCCTTTGTCTCCCTTGTCTTCAGTATGTCCTGTGAGCGACAGATTTTCTAAGCCTTCTTTCCTCATGTTCCCTAGAAATTTCAACTGTCTCTTTCTGTTGCTAATTATAAGTGCCCATTTTGTTTCCATTTTTCCTAAAACTTATTCGTTGCTCACATGTTGTCAGTAGTATTCTCATCATCTTCCTGTAGAACCACATTTTGCCACATCTTCATTTTGTGACAAAATTTTCCTACATTCACCGCCACATAGAAGGACCGGTACTCCATAACAATTCAGTAATCTTTGTTTCTGTTGTGGTACGATCCACCTAATTTACATAGTGGAGTACCGACCATATAAATATGGGTTGGTACCGGGAAGACGAGGGAGGAAGTAACAAGAGATCCAATCCAGAGACTCTGCCCGACTGCGATTAAGTCAACCCATTCTACAGGAACAGTCTTCCCAAGAATATAACAAAACTAACTGTAAATATTGTGTACCTTTTCCTTGTTTCAATACATTTTGTTTACGTACATTTTGTGTTGTATTATTATTATTCCATGCTTATCCAAGCTTCAACAGTTTCTAACGACATTTTCCGTTTATTAATACTTTGGTTAGCTTTTGGAAAGCATAATTCGCTATCCCAACGAGTCTTCGGGTCCTCGGTTAAAACACTTCTAAGATATTTAGAGTTGTGTACTTGTTTGATTTTGACGTCTCCAATTTGTAATTCACATGTTGGGCTGTCCCTTTTGCTGATAACTGCATATTCTGTATTTTTACAATTGAGATCTTCTTTACATTATTCGGACTATTGTTCTCATCTTTGTTGGCATATTTATCACAACGTTTCCGCCGTTGTACGTTCCGGCCTACTTCAGGTGGTTGGAATGTCGAACCGATCCCTTTATTTCGCTCGCTGGGGTAGACTGTTGTGCCATGTGTTCCTTAAGGACACATGGCACAGGGGATAAAGGCGTTGGTTAGATCCAGTGACAGGACCCAAAGAGTTGTGAGTTCAATACCTGGTTAAGGCAGTGGAGAACTTGCAGAGATGAATTAACAGGATTAACAGGAGATAACTGATAACTGACATTCATTAGACATGGCTCGTGGAACTAGATACACACGCTCACACACACACACATATATATATATATATATATATATATATATATATATATATATCGCAAAATACTCAATTCAAAGAATAAATTAATTTAAGCTAAGGTAAATAATGACGAATTCACTTGCTAGCAGATTAAGAAAGCATTAACTTACTGACCACTCGCTGAATGACACGATCCTTGTTTTTATTAATTGTACCATGGATTTGATGTTTGGTCCATATAGTTTTCAAGCACTTTCGTTGAATGCGCATAACATCTTCAGGCATATGCAATATAATTGGCCCTGCTCTGGCATCTCGTCTACAGTCACTTTCTCACAGACGCGCCCTCGCCTCTCTCTGTCTGTTTTACAAATACTTTCATGGCAATTGCTCCAAAGAGCTGCATTCGCTGGTTCCCAGACTTCATGAGTTCAAGCGCCCTACAAGGCTGGCATCCCGCTCTCACCCCTTCACTGTCGAAACTCCTAAATGTAGCCGTCTCTTCTACTCCAATAGCTTCATGTCTCGCACCTCTCGCCTGTGGAACACCCTTCCCTATTCCAGTTTCCCTGAGAGCTATAATCTCCAGATATTCAAATGTAATGTCAATCGACATCTCCAGTTACCTTGATCTATCCACTACCCTTCTCCTCATCCTTTCTTCTATCACTCCTATCTGATCTTGCTCCAAATTTTCTGTAACCCCTTGCGTCCTAGTGGCTTCCCGCCTTGCTTGGGGTGAAACGCTTAAAAAAAAAATGTCGCATCACCGGAAAAAAAAACTCTTACAATAATAGAAATTTTGTATTACTACAATATTAAAAAATCTAGCGTCGCATTTATGCACGTTCAAAAGATATTCTTAACTGTTAATAACCTTCGACTGATTAACGGCGGCGACACAACCTGGTATGAACCTACTAGATTCTGAAAACGCTACTTTTATATATATATATATATATATATATATATATATATATATATATATATATATATATATATATATATTGATAATATTAGTAGTAAATATACATACATATGCAAAATATATAAATACCCATACATGTATATTTTTAGAATAAAAATTCCAAGAGGAAATGTATCTTTATGCATTAGACATCCGACAACATTCATTTTTCTCTTACTTAAACCCCTTTCACCCACCTCTCCTAATATTCTCTCTCTGTTAAGGTTTAATCTCCCTCCTCCTCATACTTACACTCTCTCTAAATTCTGTTTTTATTTCCGGAGTTGTTTTTTCTGTTTTCTTTTTAAATTTGTAGGTCTGATCAATTGGATCGTATTTACGATTCCAATGGAATAAATTATGACCATGGAATATTAGTGTTTAAGCTTTTTTATTTATATATATATATATATATATATATATATATATATATATATATATATATATATATATGCACACTTCAGTTTGTGTATAATCTAGTTCATTATATGTTGAACATTTTCTGCATTTATCAATATGTCCCATACATTCTTAATGCAATTTAAATATGTCACTTGCACACGATGGGGTTTGTTACCTTTTTGGAACGAATTATTACCACTGGAAGACATGGGAACTAAAACTTGATGGAAATTATCTACAAAAAGATTTATGTATCTCGATAAACTTCAATTTCCCTCGTGTTCCTTAAGAACACCAATAGAACCCACCCGCTCGATTACAACGGCAACACATTCTTACACTGCACGTTGTTGATAGGCTAGATGTACAGCTTAATGCGGTCTTCTCCGCTTGCGAACTCTACCGTCTGCCTAAAAGTGCTAGAAACGAGACTTGTTTGACCGTGCGATACGGCACCAATCTTCTACGGTCAATTCTATGTCTATCTTTCTCACATAACTGAGTTTCATCGAAACTTTGTTAATGATAAAACTTTATAGTTCCGTCTCAATCTTTCTTAATATGATGTTTCTGCCAATATTTAGCTGTCTCGTCCCTATGACTTTGAGTAGTGATATTGGTGTACCATCGAGCATGCTATGATACTCCACTTCTCCCAGTAGCTCTTTTAGTCCTCACACATGAGAAATCTTGTCACGATAAGTGGGCTCCTAACCCAGTTACGATGTTTCCGACTTCTGTTGCCTAGATTTCCAGATAGACAAGACGTGTTCATTCAGAGTATCATTATTGTATCTTCTTTCCTGGATTGTTTGTTTCTTCATTATCCTTAATGATAAATGGGAATAAATGTTTTCTGTGTTTGGGTTTTATCCATCACATAGTCAGGGACCCGAAACTTGGATTAACTTCTGAGGAGGTTATCCTATCAGTAGTTGTGTAATATCGGGGCTATTGTTCAGCGCTTTTTGTGAATGGATTCTGCAATTTTTAGTAGTTTCCAATGCGGATTCTCGATGTCATGATGAAAGGTACTGTTACGGCTGTACCTCCGGACAATTCATCCCTTTACCTGTGGGTGGAATTTTTTCGCTACATGATCTTCCCCTATACGCGATTTCTGATTTCTAACCATGACTACAAGAAAATCGAATAAAAGTGTTAAACCAAACTCCACAAAAACTAAAGTATACACCAAGTTCACCATCTCCTACACCAATGTGAGGAGTCTACATTTCAACTCTCTTGTGCCTGTCCGAAACTGGTATCGATTTTTTTATATCCCAGTACGGGAACTCGCAGTGCGGTTTTACTCGCACCTAATAAGGAAACATAACCACCAAAATCTCCATGACCACAAAGAACGTGGCATGGATCCCCAAAAGGAGTTCTCTGATTACCCGTATGTGTGCTTCCGCGTGACACTTGTTCACAGTATCCCTTCCATCTACACTCTCTATCGTCCACAAGATGATGGAACTGCAATGTTCGACAAAATGCCCGAGAATATTGACATCTTCCAGAAGTTCCATTGCTTAAGAACTAACACACTGTTAATCAGCTTACTCATGGATAATGATCCTAGTTAATGTTACCCCCGCTGAGTACTTCAGACCATTCACTGATCAGTGATAAAGTTGATCATAAACTAAAGGCATCTCCGGATGTGCTGTTCTCTAGAACGATTATTTGATGTACCAAAACTGATTAGGACAGTTCATATCATATATGACGTAAACTTCTCTCTATGAGCATTCTTCAAATATAGAGCCTCGCGAACTGCCGTCCTCATCTCTCAGTGGATTCTTTCTGGTATGGAAAGTGTTACACCCCAGAAAAATACCAACAAAAACCAAAGAGCCAGCTTTGGTTCACCCCCTGAATGTGCTGCAGGCATAGTACACCGTAAACACTGCTGCAAAATCTATCACAGGGAAAGGTGGTAGGAGACCTGCTACATTCAGAACTACCCGCAGCTATTCCGTTAAGTTAACCGTTTAAATGTGTTAATATCTGCTAACTCACTCATGTCTTCTCTCTCCCCCCTCACTTCGTTAATTTACATATGTTTAATACGGCCCGTCAAAAATGTGTAAATTTTTTTTCATTTTTTGTTTGGAAGTAAAGTCTGATAATCCGCAGTCCTTTAAAAGGACTGTGGTGAAATAATTAATTACATGGAACCTTAAAGTGCTCTGCTTTTATTTAAAATATATATATATATATATATATATATATATATATATATATATATTAAGACATTTTTATGTTTATACATTCTTTTTATAGATACAATATTTACGTAGATACTATGTTTATAATAAACAGTATTAAACAACATTTACCGGCCTGAATGTCCGAGAAATTTTCACAGAAAATATTCGTCCTCCGCTAAATGTTGTTTAATACTGTTTATTATAAATAGAGCATTTACTTAAATATTTGTATCTATAAAAAGAATGTATAAACATAAAAATGTCTTAAAATAATTGTCGGACTTTGTCCATTTCAAAATATATATGATAAAATAAAGTTTTAATGTATGGTATATTTATGGGTTAATGTGTTCAATATCAGGGCTAGAACGTATATTAATTTTGTTTTGTTTTTAATCATTTCATCCCTAAGTTGGAAATGCTACTAGTACGCAGGGTGTTTACAGTAAGTGAAACTGAGAGAAAAGACTGGGTACAGTGGGATTGAGGAAAGGAAAAATGATGAACGGGATTCAAGAAGATGACGATTGATGTTGCATTTAAATTTATGGAGAGTGTAGTTATCATGGTAGCAAGTAAACTGAAGGGAGTTCCACGGGCGGGAAGTGCAAGAAAAGAAACTGTTAGAGAAGAAGTTGCGGCTATATTTAACTATTTCAACAGTAAAAGGGTGGGACCTAAATGCCAATCTAGTAGCTCGTTTAAATTCATGGAATCAGGGCACAAGGGAAAAAGCTCGTCAGAGCAGTTTTCATGAAAATATTTGCAGAAAAGACAGAGGGAAGCCACATCACGTCGGTGAGAAAGTGCCAAGTCCGGATCGACTACATTGCAGATCCTTCTTTGAATTTTGTCAAGAACCTTGAGATAAATAGCAGGAGCACCAGACCAGATATGGCAACAGTATTCAATGCACGGACGAATGGTAGATTTATAAATGTGCAAGACGGATTATGACGAGAAAAACTTTCTGGAACGTCACAGTGACCCAACTTTCCTTGCAGTAGATACAGCTATTTATTTGATGCTGTTGTTCCACTACAAGTCAGTTCAAAACGTGAGGCCAAGAAGGCGCAGTCTCACGCTCCCCAGGAGTCGAGCATCAGCCATGCTGATAGTGGACAGGAAAGTTTCTCTATGGTGGTTAAATGAATAGTTTTTTGAAGCCTTTAAAATTTACAAGCCATTTCCTGCCCCAGTTAACCACTGATTGGGATACTGTTCAAGAGCAGCGGCCAGGTTAACTTTGTCAGTTCTTACGGATTTCTTATTGAGACAGGAGTAAATGGTAGTATCATCTACATAATTGCCTACTTGGGATTTGATGATATCAAGAAGCTCGTTGATGAAGATCAGAAACATCGTTGGACCCAGGATAGACTCTTGAGGGACACAAAACGACGTTCATTTCACGAATTGAGAGGAACGATTGGATTAAATCTTGTCTATTGTCTTGTAAGCCCTGGAGCTTACGTAGAAGACTAGCGTGACAAACCCTGTCAAAAGCCTTCGAGATATATAGTGCCACAGCTCGAGCTTCGTCGTTATTATCAAGAGCTTGATATACATATTCAGCGATGGCCGTTAGTACGTCAGCGGTAGACCTGGCAAAATGGAAGCTATATTATTTATTAGAGAGTAGGTCGTGAGAAGTAAGATTGTTTAACCACTTCACCATTTATTAAAGCCACGAATACTTTGCCAAAAAGCGGTAGGAGACTAATATGGCGATATTTAGAGGTCAGAAGGTTCTCCAGAGTTATTAAAAACAGGAACTGCAGCGGAGGACTTCCAACAAGCTGGAAAGCAGGAAGCATCGAGGCAATAGTTGTAGAGTTTGGAGAGAACTGGAGCCAGCTCAGGAGCAGATTTCTTTAGGACGACAGCTGGGATTTAGTCACCCCACACCCTTGCCTTATGGGAGTCTAATTTATAAATGATGTCTGAGAACAGTGACGGGGTTATGTGCATATCACTCAATAGAGCTTCTGTTCTAGAAGAGAATTTCCGAGCAAAGCATTCAGCCTCATCTGCTGTAGATATCAGGATTTCGATTTAATTGAAGAGAGGAGACATTGAGGATTTGCTGTTGCTCAGCACACTCTTGCCGAGCCGTCAATAATCTGTAGAATCGAACTTGCGGGATGCTATACGTTGTTTCATTCTATCAGAACAGAAGTTTTAAAAGTATTATTACTAAAATCGTTGAGAACATCTAAGGAAGGAAGATTATTTTTTTCACATTTCAAATTCATATGTAAAATTTAGGACGGAATTTTGTTGAAATGTAGCTTTCAGATTTTCTATTTCTTTGTTGTTTTCAGCTAAAATAAATATATCGTCTTCATAACGGACATATATTTTAGGATTAATAACTTTAGTAAAAACCTTGTTTTCAACATATGACATATAATAATTGGAGAAGCACGGCCCGAGAGGGTTTTCCATACTTACTTCATCAGTTTGTGTGTAAATAGTACCATTCTGGCTACAAAAAAGGAACTCTAGTGGTGCAAGTGAGCAATAGTTTTCTTAAAATATTGGGTTGGATTGATGGAGGTGGAATTAAATTATTTTTATAGACCAAATTAATGATAATATCTATAGTTTCGGAGATGGGAACGATAACAAATAAATTCTCTACGTCAAGTGACGCAAGAATGCCTTGGATTGTTTTTACTTTTGTGCTTTTAATTATTTGGAGGAATTCATGGGGAAATTATATAAAACTGTCCGAATGTTCTGTAATATATATATATATATATATATATATATATATATATATATATATATATATATATATATATATTAGTGAAAAAAATTTGTAACTTTTTTTTTTTTATATAGTTGTTAGCAAAAGAGACAGCGCCGAGAGTAAGATATCCATTAGGGATGTCAAAATCAAACAGTTGCAGAAATTTAACTGGTTAATGTTGTAACAGGCGAAAAAAAATGTGATACAGAAATTCATATGTATTATGGAATAGCTAAAA